GAGGGTCGCTATGAGTCAGGTCTGACTCGATGGCACATTACAACAACAACAACACAATGATGTTTTACTTTTATTTTATAAACCATAATCACAATGCCTGGCCCTACAATTAATAAATATTCATAATCAATTATTGACAACTAGTACTTACTGTTGTTATCTGAGAGGTTTTTTTTTTTTTTTTTTAAATATCAGGAATGGGTGTTGGATTTTATCAAATGCCTTTTCTGCATCTGTTGATATGATCATGTGGTTCTTTTCCTTTATTTTGCTTATGTGATGGATTACATTGATTGTTTTTCTGATGTTGAACCATCCTTGCATAACTGGTATGAGCTCCACTTGGTCATAATGTATTATTTTTTTGGATATGTTGTTGGAGTCTATTGGCTAGCATTTGGTTGAAGATTTTTGTGTCTATATTCATGAGGAATATTGGTCTGTAGTTTTCCTTTTTAGTGAAATCTTTGCCTGGCTTTGGTATCAAGGTTATGTTTGCTTCATAAAATGAATTTGGGAGTATTCCATCCTTTTCTATGCTCTGGAACAGTATGAATAGGATTGGTGTCAGTTTTGTGAACATTTGGTATAATTCTCCAGTGAAACTGTCTGGGCCAGGACTTTTTTCTTTCTTAAATTTTATTTTGATTTGGGTGAAAGTTTATAGAGCAAATTCATTTTCCATACAGCAGTTCATACACATTTTGTTTCATGACATTGACTGCAATCCCCCACAATGTAGCAGCTCTCTTCCCACTTCATCCCTGTAGTTAGCTTCTCCCTTCCATACACTCCTGCCCCCTGATAACACCACCCTTCTGTTCTCCCATGAGTGATCACTCCATGTACCTTATGTAAATGTTCACCTCATATGCCTGTCTATTAATTGGCTGGAAGCCATAGGAGTGAGTTCAGTTCCAGGATTGAAGGGCAGCTAGGAGTCATAGTTTCAGGGGTCTCACTGGGCTCTATCAGACCAGCAAACCTGTTTTTTTTTTTTTTTTTATGATTTTGAGTTTTGCTCTACATTGTTCTCCCACTCTGTTCATGATCTCCTGCACCGATCCCCCTCTGAGTGGTTGACAATGGTAGCCAGGCACCGTCTAGTTCTTCTGGTCTCATGGTCAAATAGGGTGAGAATTGCATGGTCTACCTGTCCCTTGGACTAACTGTTTCCATGCGTCTTTGGTTTTCTTCACTCTTCTTTGCTCTGGAGAAAGGAAGACCCATCATTGCATCTAGATAGCCACTTGCAAACTTTTAAGTTCCCAGTCGCTACTCACCAAAGTAGGGTGTGGAACAGTGTTTTGATGTAGTATGTTATGACAATTGAGCTTGATGTCCCCTGTGATGATGGTGGGCCAGGACTTTTTTTGTTGTTGGTAATATTTTTATGACCTTTTCAATTTCTTCTTTTGTTAGGGATCTGTTCAAATTTTCTACTTCAGTATGTGTTACTTTAGGGAAGTACTATGTTTCTAGAAATCTGCTCATTTCTTTTAGATTTTCAAATTTGTTAGTACTGTTCTTCATATTCTGATATTATCCTTTTTATTTCAGTTGGTCTGTTGTGACATCACTCGATTCATTTCTTATTTGTGTTATTTGTATTCTATCCCTCTTTTCCTTTGTTAAGTTTGTCAACTTTATTAATCTTTTCAAAGAACCAACTTCTAGTCTTGTTGATTTTTTCTATTGTTTTTCTATTTTCTATTTCATTTATTTCTTCTTGAATCTTTATTATTTCTTTTCTTCTGGTGACTGTAGGCTTTTTTTTTTTTTTTTTTGCTGCTCTTTTTTAATTGTTGGAGATATTGGGTCAAAGTGTTGATTTTGGCTTGCTCTTCTTTTTTGATGTGTGCATTTATTTTTATACATTGGCCTTGATCACTGCTTTTGCTGTCCCAAATGTTTTGGTATGTTGTGTTTTCATTCTCATTTGATTTAAGGAATTTTTTAATTTCATTTTTTACTTCTTTTATTATCCAGTCATTTTTAAGGAAGGTGTTATTGCCATGTGTTTGCTCTTTTGCTGTTCATCTTCCTATTGTTGATTTCTAGTTTCATAGCATTGTGATCTGAGAAGATGCTTTGCAGTATCTTAATGTTTTTAAATTTATTGAGGATTGCTTTGTGGCCTAATATACAGTCTATCCTGGAGAATGTTCCATGTGTACTGGAAAAGAATGTATATTGTACTGTTTTTGGGTCAAGTGCTCTATAGATTTATTTCTACAAGGTCAAGTTGGTGGATCGCATTATTTAGTTCTTCTGCATTTTTATTGAGTTTCTTTCCAGTTGTTCTATCTTTCATTGAAAGTGGTGTATTAAAGTCTCCTACTATGACTGTGGGAGCTCTGGTGGCTTAGTGCCCAAGGCATTTGACTTCTAATCAGAAGGCTGGCAGGTTCAAACCCACCAGCCACTCTTCGGAAGGAAGATTGGGCAATCTACTTCTATAGTAATACACCTCAGAAACCCAAGGAGGGGTCACTATGAGGCACAATCAACTCAAGGGCACTGAGGTGAGGTGAGATTATGACTGTAGAATCATCTACATGTCTTTGTAATTCTGTTAAAGTCTGATTTATGTATTTTGAGGCTCTTTCATTGGGTGCATACATATTTGATATGGTTATGTCCTCTTGCTCAATCACTCTTTTCATCATTGTATAATGTCCTTCCTTGTCTCTTTGGTAGCTATTGTCCTAAAGACAATTTTATCAGAAATTAATATTGCCACTCCTACTCTTTTATGGTTGCCATTTGCTTGATATATCTATTTCCAATCTTTTGTTTTTGTCTCTATTGTGTGTCTCTTGTAGACAGCATATTGATGGGTTATGTTTTCTTATCCAGTTTGCAACTCTCTGTCTCTTGAATGGTGCGTTTAATTTTCTTTTTCCATATAATTTTCTGTGCTGAGCTCATTCTGTTTATGGATCGTGTTATCATTTCCTTCATTGCTACTGTTTTACTATTTGCTAAATATTTGTGCTTTTCCTCTTTTTTATTTTGATGCAACGGTTTATTTATTTTTATTTTTTTTGAGGTTACCCTGTGATTTATTATTTTCTTTCCAAGTTTAGAACAGTCCATTCTATCTCGATTTAGTTTACTTCCATTGAAAATGAAAATGTTTGTATTTTCCTATCCCTTCCCCCAATCACTCTGTTTTACCATGTACTATGTGTTTACTTCTGGTTTGCCTTGATTTAACTGTTGTTAACAGAAGGATTAATATTTTTCCCAAACTTTCCATCTTAACTCTACTTCAGACATCTCAGTTCCATTTTCTCTCTTCCTATTTAAAACTCACTGTCATCAAGTTGGATCCGACTGATAGTGACCTCTCCTTGAGTTTCCAGGATGGTATCGCTACGGAAGGAATTGCCCAACCTTCCTTCCAAGGAGTGACTGGTGGGTTTGAATCACCAGTCATCTGGTTAGCAGTCAAATGCCTTAGGTACTGTGCTACCAGAGCTCCCTTCTTCCTATTTGGATTGCAAAATAAAAGGAACAAAGAAAAGTGTTTTTTTCTTTTCTTATTTAGTGCTTTCCATTTTAAATAGAAAAGTAAATATATGTAATTATTAAAGAAAAAAATAGAAGTGAAACTGTGTATAGAATGAAAAGCATAAAAGAGAAGTAAAACACCTCTCTCACCTTCAGAGAAGATTTTTCAAAATTAACTTCCAGTTTAGATTCCAAAGCATTTCGAAATTAAACCATAGCATAATGGAACTATTGTTCTAAACCAACACCTCTGTAAGCACAATGTGGATACAAATTAGAAACACTCCTCACTTGTGTCTGAGTCCATAGACATAAGTAAGGAGAGTCCCGTAGCTCTGCCAAGTTTTGCACACTTCATTCAAAGCTAGAGGACTCCTTACCAAAAAAACCAAACCCACTGCCATTGAGTCGATTCCGACTCATAGCAACCCCTAGTGGGTTTTCAAGGCAGTAAATCTTTACAGAAGTAGATTGCCCAGTCTTCCTTCCATGGAGTGGCTGGTGGGTTTGAACCACCAAGCTTATGGTTAGTAGTCAAAAGCCTTAGGCACTGCACCACCAGAGCTCCTTGGAGGACCTCTTAATAGCCTCAGAACAGAAGAACAAGACTCCTATCATGAGTCAGGGGACTTGCAGGAAAACAAAGGCCCTTTGTGTCAGTGTTGTGTGAGCTAAAGGCACTCAAAGCCACCCTGTAATACATTTGTGACTTAATCCTACCTCTCAACATGCTTATTCATGAGTTCCCTCCTTTTCTCTTCCCTTAGGAAGAAGACAAGCCAGTTCTCCATGTGTTCAATGCTGTAACACAAGAGACAATGCCGATAACAGAGAGCATCTCTCTTCTTGGTAAAAAAGTGTCTGATCTGAGAACACTGATAACTCTGAGATGTGGCTTCCCCGTGAGTGTCTACTGCCTCCGGACCCCTGAGGGACTGGAGATGTATGACTGCAACACCCTTAGGGACTACCAGACAGAAATCGGTACTGCCCACTATATTTGGTATCAGCTACAACTCAGCAGTAGGATTCTTTGATACAGAAAGTTCCAGTTTTCAAAAAGAAGAAAGAAATCTGGATTTTTATTTTCAATCTGTTAATTTTATTTACATGTATATTTTAAAATAGTTAATACATTTACATGATTCAAGCATCAAAAGAACAAAAGAAGCATAGTGATTAGTCTCCTTACCTCTGCTGGCCTCCAGACACCAAGTTCACTCCTCCATGTTGCTGTTGTTGTTGTTGTTATGTGCCATCGAGTCAGATCTGACTCATAGCAACCTCTCCTTGGTTTCCAAGGCGGTATCACTACAGAAGTATATTGCCCAACCTTCCTTCTGAGGAGTGGCTGGTGGATTTGACCCACCAGCCTTCTGGTTACCAGTCAAGTGCCTTAGGCACTACTCTACCAGAGCTCCCTAGGACCATTATTATTATTATGAAGATTTAGAATCCATAGAATCTCCAAATTAAATCGCAACATGAAGGAGGAATTATTTGAATTCCCAAATTCCCTCTAATTCCCAAAATGAAGGCATGGATCCAGTCCTTACCTTCCCACTTCTCCATCATCATCATCACCAGACGTTCACACAGCACTCCCTGTCTCTGATCTTAGCCACTCAGAGCTGGGTCAGAGCTCATAAGTTAGATGGATATTCTCTTTCAGACCAGCTGTCTGTGCAGCATTTCTTGAACCCTACTCACCCAGAACTAGGCCAGAGGTTACATGTTATAAGAACACATTCTTTCAGACTGCCAAATAGGCAGATGCCAGTCTGCTGGTTCTCACTGCCCCTGTAGATTTGTTAATTTGCTGGAACAATTTAGAGAATTCACAGAGAATACACCAAACATAAGGCTACAGGTGTATTACAACCAAAAAGGATACAATGAAGGAATGCATACAGTGAACTGTGGAAGTGGTCTCAGCCCAGAGCTTCTATGTCCAAAAGAGGAACGCACCAATCTCTTCCTGTGCGTGGTAGTCAACCAGAATGCTTATCTGAGCCTCAGGGTTCAGGGCACTTATTAGCTTCCACATGCACCTTGATAAATTACATCATGACTTGTGAGCCTTAGTCAGCACTGAGCCCTTAGGTGGTCCCTCTTGATCTTGTCAGCCTTTACTCATTTGCCTCAGGTATTGGTCTGGCTTAGAAGAGCTGAGAAAAAAGGCCAAATTACTTTCTTTAAGGTGATTTCAAACTAGACTCAGACTAGTTTCTTTGTTTTCTCTTTCTAGATATAATTAAATTTTTTTTTTAATTTTTGCTGTGTTCCCTCCCCTCCCCTCCCTTTTTCTAGATATAGTTTAAGCATATATAGAAGCAAGTTCAATTGCATTTTCTTTTTTTCTCTTTTTAACACAAGTGTTAGCATACGATACAAAGTGCTTTGCCTTATGCCATCTTATTTAAAAATGTTATTGATTATATTTTAAAATCTTTTTAAACAGTTGAAGCCAATATTGTATAGGCCAAACAGATGTCTCAGTGGAAGAGCATCCACTCCAATTAACAGATTATAACATCTCTTGAAATACTGGACTTCCAGGTTGTGTCTGTTGCAGCCATATATTATTAAGACAAACTCAAATAAATAAAATAAACTGTCAGATTTATTTTAACTATACTGGAAAATATTTAACTATACTGGAAAAAATGGTTTGAACCCTATAGAGATTATTGCTTGAAGAGCAGTAGTCCTTGATGGCAAGTAGCACTTTTTTTTTTATTTACTTTTTTAAAAGATACACTTTATTGAAATATAATTTATATATGGTGAAATACACAAAACTAAAATGACATGGGTCAATGCATTTTTTTTTTTTTTTGGCAGTGTTCCCGCCACTCCCTCCCCCTTAACTAACAAAGTTTCTTTCCATATATAATCCTTTCCTTGACTTTTTACAATAATGAACTAATACTATATTTGTCCTGTGTGATTGACTTATTTCATTCAGCATAATGTCCTCCAAGTTTTCATCTTATGCAGTGTTTTGCAGATTCTACATTATTCTTTAGTGTTGCATAGTGTTCCATTGTGTGAATGTACCTTAGATTATTTATCCATTTTTCTGTTGATGGGAATGTAGGTTGTTTCTATCTTTTTGCTGTTGTAAATAGCACTGTGATGAATGAGAGTGTGCATATATCTGTTCTTGTCCTTGCTCTCACATATTTTCTTTTTTTTAAATTATGATTTGGGTGTAAGTTTACAGAGCAAATTCACTTTTCACTTTTCATACAGCAGTTCACATACACTTTGTCTCATGACATTGACTACAATTAACTACAATGCAACAGCTCCCCTCTCACTTCCTCCCCATAGCCACCTCTTCTCTGTGTCCTTCTCTCCATGCACTCCTGCCCCCTGAGCTGTCTACCTGTGCATACACGGACCTTCTATTCTCCCACGATTGTTCTCTCTAAAGAGTGTATCTACCTAGTGTAAATGTCACCTCATATGCCTGACTTTTGTTTGGCTGGAAGCCACAGGAGTGGGTTCAATTCCAGACCTCAAGGGCAGCTAGGGGCCATAGTCTCAGTGGTTCCATCAGGCTTCAGACCAGCAAACCTGGTCCCTTTTTTTTTTCCCCAAAATTATTTTGAGTTTTATTCCACATTGTTATCCCACTCTATCCAGGATCTCCTATGTAGATTCTCCTCCGAGTGGTTAACAGTGGTATCCGGGCACCATCTAGTTCTTCTGGTCTCACAGTCATACAGGCTAAGGATCGCATGGTATACCAGTCACTTAGACTAATTGTTTCCATCAGTCTTTGGGTTTCTTCATTCTTCTTTGCTCTGAACAAGAAGAGACCCATTGTTGTATCTAGATGGCTGCTTGCAAGCTCTTAAGATCCCAGTTGCTACTTGCCAAAGTAGGATTTAGAACAAGGTTTTGTGTAGTGTTAGGTCAATTGAGCTTGATGTTGCCTGCAACTATGATCCCTACTGGCTCTCACTTCTTTAGGATATATACCCAGTAATGGGATTGCTGGGTCAAATGGTATTTCTAATTTCAGCTTTTAAAGGAATTGCCATACTGCTTTCCACAGTGCTTGTATCATTTCACAGTCCCACCAGAAGTGCATGAGCATCCCAGTCTCTCCACATCCTCGCCAGCATTTGTTATTTTCTGTCTTGTTGAACTTTGCCATGAGTACTGGGATGAGATGGTATCTCGTTGTTGTTTTAATTTGCATCTCTCTGATGACTAATGATCATGACCATTTCTTCATGTATTTGCTGGATGCCTGAATATTCTCTTTGGTGAAGTGTCTATTCATGACTTCTTTCCATTTTTTAATTGGATTATTTGTCTTTTTGTTGTTGAGGTGTTAGAGTTTTCTATAAATTTTAGAGATAAGTCCCTTGTCAGATATGCTGTTGATGAATATTTTTTCCCAATCAGTAGATTCTCTTTTGACTCTTATGGAGAAGTCCTTTGAAGCCCATAAAACTTTAATTTTTAGAAGGTCCCATTCATCTAGTTTATCTTGTGGATTTGGGGTAATGCTTGACAGTCTATTTATGCCATAAATTAGGGCCCCTAAATGTGCTCCTAGTTTTTCTTGAGAAATTTTATAGTTTTAGGTTTCACATTTAAGTATTAGATCCATCTGGGGTTAGTTTTGTGTACAGTGTGAAGTACGGGTCTGTTTCATTTTTCTGCAAATGGATATCCAGTTTTGCCAGCACCATTTGTTAAAGAGACCACTTCATGCCCCTTTAATGGATTTCAGCCCTTTGTCAAAAATCAGCTGACCATAGGTCAATGGATCTATTTCTGGGTTCTCAATTCTGTTCCACTGGTCTATGTATCTGTCGTTGTACCAGGCAGTTTTGACTACTGTGGCTGTATAGTAGGTTTTGAGATCTGGGAGTGTGAGGCCTCCTACTTTGTTCTTCTTCTTCAATAGTGCTTTGCTTATCTGAGATCTCTTTCCTTTATATATAAAATCAGTGATTGGTTTTTGCATATCCTTAAAGAATGCTAATGGGATCTGGATTGGGATTGCATTGAATATGTAGATTGCTTTGTGTACTATTGACATTTTCACAATGTTCAATCTTCCTGTCCATGAGCATGCTATGTTCTTCCATTTATGTAGGTCTCTCTGGTAGTGTAGTGCCTAAGGCACTTGACTGCTAACCATAAGGCTGGTCGTTCAAACCCACCAGCCACTACTCAGAAGGAATGTTGGGCAATTTACTTCCATAGTGATACCACCTCAGAAACCCAAGGAGGGGTCACTATGAGTCAGATCTGACTTGACAGCATGTAAAAACAACAACAATTTATGGTTTCTTGGAGTAGTGATTTGTAGTTTTCTTTGTACAGATCTTTTGTGTCCCTAGTGAGATTTATTCCCAAGTATTTTATTTTTTTGATAGCTATTGTAAATGGTATTGATGTCCTTATTTCCTTTTCAGCAATCTCTTTGCTAGTGTAGAGGAATCCAACTGATTTTTGTATGTTGATCTTGTATCCCGCCACTATCAAATAGCACATCTTTAGGTAATGTTGTCTGTAACATTTGTTGCAGTACAATTTTACTTCTCACATAGGGCTCTGTAAGCATCCTGGTGGAGTTGAGCAGTTTTGTTTTTCATACTGCTATATTTCAATGCATCACTACTCCTCCTGACTATTATATTTGTTTAGCATTATTCTTTCATGTTATTTAAATTGGGGCTCTCAAAACCTTGACATCAATTACTGTCCCTGTTTTGATCCAAGGAAACTGCCTAGAAATTGTCTTCAGAACATGTCACTGTAAAGTACCCACCTGCTCTACATGCTTACTGGAGGCTTAGCTGTGCCCAGAATGTGACTGGCATACAGTGGCATTTGTCCCCACACATTTTATAATCTACTTATTAAATGAAATCCCAAAGGGTAAATAAGAAAACCCTGAGTGACTGTTTTTCAGGTCTGTGCTGCTCAGATCAGGATGTGACATTGTAGAGCTG